TTTCCCTCCATATCTGTTCCTTTCCCCATTTTCCTGACAGCTTATTGAGCTGCTATTCCCAGGGCAAAGCTAGATCCGCCTGCCCTGGATTCTTCAGCCAACATGGCCCTGGTTGTTAGGCAGGTTAACAAGTGTACACTTGCCCCCATGGTCAGAGATGACCCAGCTGTCCTCACGACCTTGATGTCTAATCCCTTCCATTGCAAATGAGCGTCAGCTCCATCTTTTCTTTCAGTTTCTCATAAGCGACTGTCCCACAACTGCCCTGGTGTTACTTGTGTCACTCACACCTGGGGGCGGCGGCAGCGAGACCTCTGCTCACTCAAGCAGACACAGGAGCTGGCTCTCTCTGGTCCTGCCTCAGCCCCAGTCTTGCTGAGTCTTCTGTGCTCCAACAACACCACACACACACACACACACACACACACACACACACACAGCCCTCTACAGTACTGTGGCGGCAACTGACCTCGTAACCACATGGGGGCAGCAGAGAGTCAAGAATGCAAACAGGCAGCCACCCCAAGGGGCTTGGAGAAGCTGGGTGGCCTTTCCCGCCCCACCCACAGCCCCCCTCAACCCTAACCCTAACCCATTAAGACCCCCAAGAATCTGGAATTGTTTGTCTAGCAGACCTGGGGTCCTAAGGAAACCAAACTATGAGGGTAGAAGTTAAGACTCAGAAAAGAAGCTCCATGAGGCACCAGTGCCTGCCCCCGCCCAGCTGAGGGCCCTGCCAGAGAATCATTATCTTTGGCCAAAGTTGGGCCTGAAGGGTTATTATTTCAACCCAGAAAACCAAACCGGACTGAAGCGGCCCTGGGCTGGCGGGACTGGCTGAGACCAGCCCCCCCACCCCACCCCGGCCTGTGGTCAGGCACTGCCCCACCCTGGAGACTACGGAATCCAGACAAGGTTCTCAAGGTCACAGTGCCCAAGTTCTCAAGGTCACAGCCTGAGAGCTGGCAGAGAGCACCACCCCCCATATATCTATGGGGGCCTTGTAGCTCCCGTCATGGAAAATAAAGTGTCTGTCTTTGCACAAGAGTTGGTCCTATGGTATTCAGGGCTATCCCCTCAGAGATGGAAACCTGAACAGAAAAGGGGACCTGGCTGGGCAGGTGGCAGCTGTGTCTGAGAGAAGACCACGTGTGCCACACCCCTCCCGCACCCCTGGCACGGCAGGACAGTCTCCACTGACTTCCACTTCATAGCCGTTGCTTAAATCATTCTGGGTCCCCCACGTGTCCGACACACCCGTTTTCCTTCTCCACGACCCCTTTCCTGCCACTTTGCCAAGAAGACAGGAGGTCCGGGCTCTCCCGGGCGTGCCAGGGCTGAGGTGATCACGTGTGACAGCCCTGCCAGCTTCCAGGGTCTCACTCAGGCTCCCTGAGGGAGAGGAGAGGCTGGTGAAAGGCAGCTCAAGAAAAGTCCAGAAGAATCCTTGAACCCAGATGAACCCCGAGCCCCAGCCCAGCCTTGGAGACCTGGGCAATGGCCCCATCATTCATCCTGGTTCTGCCTCCAGTCTTGGGGTAATGCCCCCCCAGACCTCTCCAGACCCGTTGCAATTAGGGATTCAAGGTGGACAGGCAATGGAAAGCCTCACCAAGTGGTTCAGAAGGGGCTGCACCGATGTCCCTTTCCTACAGAGCCTTGGGAAGGGGAGAGGTGCTGCTTCTGTGCAGGCTGAGCTGTGTGACCCAGTGGCAAGGGCTGCTCTGGAGGAAGTGAAGAGACCTTCCCAAGAGAACTTGAACCACCACTGAGAAGCCCCTGCCGCCCCTCCCACTGCCCAACTGCAGTTCCAGAGGGGGGCCCTCTCAGCCCCCCGCCCAGCCCCCTCCCTGGCCATGGACAGAGTCCACGGGAGGTAATGACCTCTACTGCATTTACATAGCTCATCTTTCCTCTAGGAAGATTTCATAGAGAACTTGACTTGACTTTTGCTGATGGGCAGAGCCGCCAGCCCAGCAAGGGCAGAAGGGAAGGACCTCCACCAAGGCAGGAGCTGGGAAGGGAGGGGTCTTTGCACCCATGCAGGGACACCCAGGGGTTTCCTCTCCAGGCCTTGCAGTCCTGGGTCTTAAGCCTCTCTCCCCCGTACCCACAATGTCATGTCTCCCAACTTTCCACCCTGCCCCATCCCTTCCTCATCCTTCTCTCTACACATAAGTACACCATCCCTCCCCCCTCTCCCCTTCCCAGGGTCTCTCTCCTTCCTCACCCTTGTCTCATCATACCTTCTCCACCCACCCACCCCCAAACCCATCCTCTCCCCCTTTACAGAAAAACCTTCTTACTCTTGTCCCATTTAATCCCCTCGCCCCTCTGCCCCCGGTGGCTGGACCCACAGCAAAGCCCAGCTGCTGCTGGAGTTGATGGGAATGGAGGACAGCAGCCCGCTGCGCCACCAACCATTTCTCAAAACCCAGATTCCCATGTCCTCTAACCCCTGCCTCCTCTCTGGCTACAGAGTGGAATCCCCAGAGGGCTGAGGCACCCTCACCCCTACACCATCTGACCAGCCAGCCCCCATACTCATCTCCCGCAGGTGGCTCACCTCTGCTTTCGTCCTCAGCGCCTAACACCCTACCCTCACCCCCTACCCCTGTCCTAACTCTCATGCTATCCAATAGGCTGAGAACTTGGAACAAGAGGGCAGGGCTGGGGGGCTAAAGGCCCCCAACCCAGAAGGCAGTACCTTGATTCATGCAGCAGTATTTTCTGGCTGCATGCTTTGTTCATGTGATCCAGGAAAATGGATGAATATAACAGTGTTATAATGGAGGTTTGTAAGTGTCATACAGAGCTGGCAGGAAGAGTACAGAGAAGATGAGCTTTCCCCAGTTGGGGAGAAGGAGGGCAACGTTACCAAGGCAGTAACATTTGAGTCAGGTCTTCAAGGATAAATAGGAGTCTAAGAGTAAAGAGCGGGGGAAACCCAACTTTTGCTAGGGGGCTCCTATATGCTAAGTGCAATGTGAAGCACATTATATATGTTTAATCCCATTTTACAGATTAGAAAACTGAGGCTCAGAAGGTTAACTTTCCCACATTCACCCAGCTAGTAAATGGCAGAGAAAAAGAATTCCAAACTTGTGCCCATTCCACTGGCTCAGCACTCTCAGACAAGCAGATGGATGAATTTGTGCATGAAGCACATAGGTATGAAAAGACTCCCTGTTCAGTGTGGCTGAAGCATATGGTGCCCAAGGGAGTAGGTAAGAGAGGAAGCAAAGGAAAGAGGTAGGAGCTGGATCATTAAGAGCCTTGGGTGCTAAGCTGAGAATGTCCAAGGGATGAATACTTGGTGAATGAATGAATGAATGAATGAGGTTGGACTCAGGACCACTGTGTGCAGTTGTGCAAGTTGCATGCTGCACAACTGTACACGGCAACATGCTTGGACTTTATCTGGTAGGTAATGGGGAGACAACAGAAGCTTTTCAGACAGGGAGTAAGTAACCAGATTTGTGAGGACAGCAGTAAGGATCTGAGGCCTGGGCTGGGAAGGAGTGTGATGGGAAGAGGAAGCTGTGAAGACTTGGGAGTTCAGGCCAGGAAAGAGATAGGGACTCTCATCCTGAGGCAGGCTGGGACAGAAGCCTACTTGAACTGGGCCTGGGGCCTGGGTTCTCTCCGAGCTTGAAAGGACTACGCGGGAAAGAACAGGACTGGGGCTCCCCCTTCCCCCCTGTATTAGTCTGCTCAGACTCTGCCATAACAAAATATCACAGACTGGGTGGTTTAAACAACAGACACTTATTCTCTCACAGTTCTGGAGCCTGGAGGTGTAAGATCAGGGTACCAGCATGGTTGGGTTCTGTTGAGGATTCTCTTCTTGGCTTGCAGACGGCCACCTTCTTTCTGTGTGCACATATGGCCTTTCCTCAGTGCATTTTCCTCTTCTTACAAGACCTACCAATCCTACCAAATTAGGACCCCACCCTTATGGCCTCAGTTAACCTCCTAAATTATCTCCTAAGAGTCCTATCTCCAAATACAGTCACATTGGTGTCAACCTGTGAATTTATGGGGACACAGTTCAATCCATAGCGCCCCTCCATACAGGGCCCTGCCCCAGCCATGTTCCCCACCCCCATAATCCCCCCAGTCCCGGCCAGG